ACTGCATTACCATTACCAAAGCTATCTAAGCCAGACAGTTACTTACATATAATCAGGGAAAAGAATATAATAGTTGTGACACCCGCAGTGCTGTAGAACATAATATTGAAGTCAGTGCTCATGCTGTCCAGATTATCGGAGTTTGGCACCAGTATTGGTGGGATGAGGAATCCAGCTGCGACACCTAGCTGGTTAGAAACCAAAAGAATATGTGTCACAAAGTGAAATGTCTTCTTCACAAATCAGTCAGTCACCAAAAGAAGGTGTGTCACACAGTGAAATGTCTCCTTCACATATCATTCAATCACCAAAAGAAGATGTGTCATGAAGTGAAATGTCTCCTTCACAAATCAGTCAGTCACCAAAAGAAGGTGTGTCACACAGTGAAATGTCTCCTTTACAAATCAGTCAATCAACAGGTCCTTATGTCACTCTCTTCACACTTGAAAGTCCCTCTTTCTCTAGCCAATTCTCCAGCACTATGTGCTTGTATAGCCAATTCTCCAGCCCTATGTGCTTGTATAGCCAGTTCTCCAGCCCTGTGTGCTTGTATAGCCAATTCTCCAGCCCTGTGTGCTTGTATAGCCAATTCTCCAGCCCTGTGTGCTTGTATAGCCAATTCTCCAGCCCTGTGTGCTTGTATAGCCGATTCTCCAGCCCTGTGTGCTTGTATAGCCAGTTCTCCAGCCCTGTGTGCTTGTATAGCCAATTCTCCAGCCCTGTGTGCTTGTATAGCCAGTTCTCCAGCCCTGTGTGCTTGTATAGCCAGTTCTCCAGCCCTATGTGCTTATGTAGAAAATGTTCAATGTCTTGTATCCACCTTTACGGGTGCCTGTGCCTTAATTTGTGTCTTTCATAAAAATATGTTTTTAACCCATTCAGTCATGTGACTGGCTAACCCATTCAGTCATGTGACTGGCTAACCCATTCAGTCATGTGACTGGCTAACCCATTCAGTCATGAGACTGGGCTAACCCATTTAGTCATGTGACTAGGTAACCCATACAGTCATTTGACTGGCTAAACCATTCAGTCATGTGACTGGCTAAGCCATTCAGTCATGTGACTGGCTAAACCATTCAGTAATGTGACTGGCTAACCTATTCAGTCATGTTACTAGGTAACAAATTCAGTCATGTGACTGGCTAACCCATTCAGTCATGTGACTGGCTAACCCATTCAGTCATGTAACTGGCTAACCCATTCAGTCATGTGACTGGCTAACCCCTTTATGTCATGTGACTAGGTAACCCATACAGTCATGTGACTGGCTAAACCATTCAGTCATGTGACTGGGTAACCCATTCCCTGAATTCACCTCTCTCTGTTTTATGTATCCTTTATTCACGTATGGCAGGCTTTGGTAATTCATCAGTAGCTTTTGAAAGCCTGCACAAAATACTGAAGTCTAAATTGTACAGATTTAAAACCAAGTTATGCATTTTTAATTCTAAAGATATTTCAATTTTGACGTATGCCAGTGAAAGCAAAAGAATCATTTAAAACGTGGAAAAAAGTTAAATGCATTTGAAAACAACAGCTTGAAGAAAAATGTTAAATATAAAATAGTATGACTTTGATAGATGTAAAGAAATAAGAGAAAGTCCGAGCAACCACTAGCATAAACATTTATAAGAAAAAAGTCACTATTTTTTGGCGAGATTTTCTCAAGGAAAAAAAAAACGAGTGGAGAAATATCAAACAGGTACTTAAAAAGGAAACAGAAGGACTGAGGACACAAAGACATCTGAACGAAAGCCTAAAACAAACACTGATAAGAGAGGCCAAAGGTGCTTGACTTAATTCCATCCGTGATGTTGAAGGGTTGCACCGGATAAAGCGGAACAGAGGAAAAGACCACTAGCCCTAAATGACAAATAATAGCACAACAGAACAATGGGGTGGTGATGATGACCCTGACTGATAGCCCAGTTAGTCTGGTGGTCATGAGTTCAAATCCCTATCAAGGTAGGAATTTAAAAAAAAATGATACTACAGTAACAAAATTAAATAACCTCAAATAAATACATTACTCTATTTAAGTGAAAATTTCAACATATGCCCTCAGTGGGCAGTTCACACATAGTGTTGTGGTTTATAGCTAGGCTGGATATCTGCAGCTTATGGTCCAACAAATCCAATTTCAGAACATTCAATCTATCTATCTTCTTTTACCCCACCAGGACATAACACAAGCGATAAACACCCAATCACACAAAGTGCCAGCATGTGGATGAGGATCACCGTGGAGATGTCCCGGAAACCGCGTTCCACCGTTAGACCATATTTATAGCCGGGCTATATTGCGGCCTCTGACAAGAGCCAGAGTAGGGCTTTAAAATAGGGAAAAATTGCATCCCACAAAGGGATGACTATAGTTTTTGCAGAACATTCCTAATTAATTGTCATTTATGACATGCTTGTTTCGGTGACGGTGGGTCTACCCCCCCCCCACCCACCCCCATCCCTAAATAAGGGCAGCCAAACCCACGAGGAAAACTGAAATATAAAAAGCCACGACAGTCAAATTCAACTGCTTGTTTACCTGGTTAAATGCATGTTTACACCTATGAGATGTAGTGAAATATGCCAGGCGTTAAATTGTGCGGTTTGTTATTTCTTCTTCTTCCCGTTCACCGGCTGTAAATTCCGGCGGAAAGTTCTGGTTGTTCATCAATGTCTGGATTGACTGACTGACTGACTTTCCACCCCACCAGGACATCACACAAGCGACAAACACCCGATGACACAAAGTGCCACCATGCGGATGAGGATCGCCGTGGAGAGGTCCCAGAAACCGCGTTCAGACACCCGGCCACATGTATGGCCTGCCTATATTGCGGCCCCCGGCAAAAGCCAGAGTAGGGCTTCAAATGACAAAAAATTTCGTCCTAAAAAGAACGAAACTGGATATATCTATGTCTGGATTGCAGTCCTGTTCCACAACCTGAGTATTGCGTGTGCATCCGTTTGACAGATCTGACTCATTTGTATGCAGACTGTTGGTTCCTTGCCTCTCAGGCAGATACACTCCGACTTCAAAAGAAGCTCCTAGTTAGTCGGCTCTTACGACATGCTTTTGGGGAGGCAGGGGTCTATTCTTGTTTTCCTTACAATAGGACCCCACAACCCACATGTGGAAGTTCGTTATTTAGTTCAGGCTTATTCCCCTTTACAATAGGGAAACAATCGCTTTGACTTTCAGCAGAGCAACAATGAACACTTACAGACTTTAAAAAATATCATGTTCCCAAGATCGGTCTTTCAATCTTTAAAATGTAAAGGACCGTTTCCTACGCCTTCAGGTGCATTGGGCATATAAGGCTAAACCTATATTTTATAGACCAATTGGCACTCAGTGGGCGATGTAGTCAACATCACACCGACCACTTTTACTTCCCAGGATTTACCTGGTAGCCATTTAAGGCTGGATTGGCTTTAAAGCCACAAGATTATTAAAAAACAAAGTCCAGTTCCATCAGATCGCCCCTCTTTTCCCTATTGTTTGTATGTTCAAAAAAGTTATGCACACACATGCAACATTATTACTAACACAAAGCAACGCTCTGTACATATAACACGTACAATACAGTTTACACACAAGTTTTGTATACAGACTGCTTACAGTGAAATAAATTTAAAAAAAGTTCCATCAGATCGTGAACACTTGATGTTCGGATCCGTAGGTAAGCGTCTAGCTATTACACTATAGCCGCTCATTGGGCATATAGGGCTAGATCTTTATTTTTTAGACTAATCAGCACTCGATAAGTAACGTGGTCAACATCAAGCTGGCTTCATTTACTTCCCAATGCTTCACCTGGTACACATTTAAGGCTGCATTTACTTCCCAATGCTTCACCTGGTACACATTTAAGGCTGGGTTTAAAATGTAAATCTGAGAAATTTTATAACAATTAACAAGTCTTCTGATAACATACCTGGTTTCCAAAAACACCAAAAGATGTTGCAGTGGAGACTTCACCTGGCCCAAACCAAACAGCAGCCAGTCTTGGAGGGATCGCCAGGATGCACAGTTGTGAAATGGCACACAATGTTTGTGCAAACATCAGGAGGCCAAATCTGGGGTACAGAGAGGATACTTTTTTTTACACTGATTAACTTGATACAGATTTCACTTTATTAGGATTATCTGGCAATACCGATTGCAAATCTAATTGTTTGCATGTTCTTAAAATGCAACAAGGCATATTGTATGTGTGCATGATTATGTTCACTTTTACTTCTCCCTATCATGATCATATTACTTGTTCTGCAATGGCCTGTAAAGAATACACAACCAGTGTATCATATTATCTCTTTTTCATTATCTTTTCTTCTACTTTTTCTCTTCTACTTTTACTGCTTCAGGTGTCAAGGCAGACATAATTTTCTGCTTCTTGCTCTTTTGGATACCTCGACCATCGACACATCGTGCTCTAGTAGAGTTTCTCTGATGTTATCTTTCCATATTGCTCTTAGTTTATCTTATGCTCTACGTCCTTCTTCCCATTTGGTGTTTGCCTTGTCATCACAGTACATTATCTCCAAGTGGGAAAACCACTTTGTATGTAATTTAGAATTGGTTCTGTGCCAACATTTTCTTGTATTACCTCATTTCGCATTTTTTCTCTTCTGGCAATTCTGCAGCCCTTCTTGTGATCTTTTATTCTCACACACTTTTTTCCATTCGGAAGGTCCTGGGTTCGCTCCCTGGAGGAGCCAGACTTTTTTTTTTTTTCAAAAATGACCTTGGCTCCCAGGTTGACCCAGCCTTGAGTGGGTACCGGGTGCAGTCCTGGGAAGTAAAGACGGCCGGCATGATGCTGACCACATCACCCATCTTGTGTTGATTGGTCTATAAAATACAGGTCTAGCCCTATATGCCCTATACGACTAATGGTGTGGAAAGGGTCCTTTACCTTGACGTACTTTTTTCCATACTATTTTTTTTTCACATTCTCTATTTCTGTCAATCATTCACATTCTCTCCCATCCTCTCCTGCTCATTCTTTCCATCTCCATTGTCTTTCCAACTCTCTCATTTGCCTGCACCCTCTCCTTGGTTTTTTCACTCTCTTATTCTTTCCAACATTCTCTCATGCTCACTCACACACACACACACACATAACCAAAATCTACCTTATCGCTCCATATAAGTTAGAGATAATGGTTGTGTCATCATTCTGTAGCAGGTCCTTTGCAGAACGTTGCTCTCATCACAGTCTGCCTGAAAGAAACTCTGTCTCTCACCAGTTCTCCAGCCTGATGTACTTTCATACTCAAGGAGTCACTTATATCCTGTACCCATCTTTGTGTCGGTCAGCCCCTGCCCCTCCTTCCTGGTACCATTCATTTTGCTATAATTTTTTCCAATCTGTCGTGGTGCTTGGTATGACCAAAATATTTTAGCTTTCAATGGTTTTGTATTGATGTTTTATTTAAATAATGACATTTCTAGAAAAATATATAGGAAATTAAATAAAAATAAAAAGCAGGGTTCTTTATTTTTTTTTCACCCCAATCATAGGGAATCGTGAAGTTTCCAAGAAAATCCAATATTAAAATGGTATTATGGTTTGGGTTAGACGGTGCTCATTTCAAACCATAACAACCCTATAATACTAGAGTTTCTTGGGAACTCCAGAATTCCCCATGCTCGAGTTAATAAAAAATAAAGAACCAAAAGCAGTTCAGCAGTTGCACAGCCATGTACCTGTCAGGGGACACACTGGCACACTTGAGCCAGGCACCAGCAGCGTTTAGGAAAGATCCCAAAATGCAACATACTCGCAAACCTTTCTTGTCCAGGAGCCAGGTGGCAGGGATAATAAAGGGGATGTATACCAGCATGTATACCATAGACAGCCAATCAATTGCTGTGTTACGCTGCAGACAGTAAAAATATAAGTGTTAGGCGGGACTATTTCTTCTATTCCTTCTTCTCTTTCATCTTCTCTTTAAGTTGATGATTTTTTTTAATTGGTAGTGAAAGTCTTAAATTGCTCCTCGCCTCTAGCATACACATTTATGTAGCTAATGTTTAACCTGAAAATTCCTGAATTTTATCAGGTTCAATTACATTAAAGTTTATCTTGAAGAACAATTATCTATAAACAAATGGCAGATTGCATGAATGAAATGGGCTGTCTTCACACAAATGTCTCTTTGAGTTCCTTCTTTTATCACCAACTGGAGCAATAGACCACAATCTGAGCAGGTAAACACATCTGATCTTTAGACACATCAGCTCCTTCAACTCCTCCCCAAATATTTATCTGTATCTTTTCACATGTTTAGATCTCCCTCTATCACTTTTACCTGTTTGGTTTCAGTGCAAAGACATTCTAGTTAGGACCAGGAAATGCCTTATGAGCCTGCCCAGATTGAAGAGTTCATGCCAGAAAACATTTATGAAACTGTTACTGTTAAAGTAACCAGGAAATCAAAACAGAAACTGAGATATACCTTCTAAAATCAGTTCTGAGAGGCCAAATAATGCTCACTTTAATTTGTAATATACAAGCTTTTTTCTTGAAAAAAAAAAAAACAACTCATGCTAGCACTCACCACCACAGTGTCCAGAGAAGGTGTTCAACACACACTGTCTATTACAGTAGCACCGACACAAATTATAGCTGATAGAAAAAAGGTACCGGTACTGTGTACTGTTGCGTAACACCAGAAAGAAAGTCTTGGTAATTCCTAACAAACTGTGTACCATTTCCACAGTCAAGGTTGGTTTGCTATAGTGTTTCCACTGCAGTCTGTGAGAATATTTTGTGGTAGGGACCCAATCTATTCCATGGTGCACCCCAAATACTGTCTTTTCTTCTTCTTCTGTCCTACCATTTATGTCGTGAAGTGTCACAGAGAGAAGTTAGGTAGTTTCCTGTTTTCTGTCCTACTACTAATGTTGTAAAGTGTCACAGAGAGGAGTTAGGTAGTTGCCTGTCTTATATCCTACTACTAATGTCATAAAGTGTCACAGAGAAGAGTTCGATAGTTACCTGTCTTCTGTCCTACTACTAATGTTGTAAAGTGTCACAGAGAGAAGTTAGGTAGTTTCCTGTTTTCTGTCCTACTACTAATGTTGTAAAGTGTCACAGAGAGAAGTTAGGTAGTTTCCTGTTTTCTGTCCTACTACTAATGTTGTAAAGTGTCACAGAGAGGAGTTAGATAGTTTCCTGTCTTCTGTCCTACTACTAATGTCGTAAAGTGTCACAGAGAGGAGTTAGATAGTTTCCTGTCTTCTGTCCTACTACTAATGTCGTAAAGTGTCACAGAGAGGAGTTAGATAGTTTTCTGTTTTCTGTCCTACTACTAATGTTGTAAAGTGTCACAGAGAGGAGTTAGATAGTTGCCTGTCTTATATCCTACTACTAATGTCATAAAGTGTCACAGAGAGGAGTTCGATAGTTACCTGTCTTCTGTCCTACTACTAATGCAGTAAAGTGTCACAGAGAGGAGTTAGATAGTTGCCTGTCTTATATCCTACTACTAATGTCATAAAGTGTCACAGAGAGGAGTTCGATAGTTACCTGTCTTCTGTCCTACTACTAATGTTGTAAAGTGTCACAGAGAGGAGTTCGATAGTTTCCTGTCTTCTGTCCTACTACTAATGTCGTAAATTGTCACAGAGAGGAGTTAGATAGTTTCCTGTCTTCTGTCTTACTACTAATGTCGTAAAGTGTCACAGAGAGAAGTTAGGTAGTTTCCTGTTTTCTGTCCTACTACTAATGTTGTAAAGTGTCACAGAGAGAAGTTAGGTAGTTTCCTGTTTTCTGTCCTACTACTAATGTTGTAAAGTGTCACAGAGAGGAGTTAGATAGTTGCCTGTCTTCTGTCCTACTACTAATGCAGTAAAGTGTCACAGAGAGGAGTTAGATAGTTACCTGTCTTCTGTCCTACTACTAATGCAGTAAAGTGTCACAGAGAGGAGTTCGATAGTTACCTGTCTTCTGTCCTACTACTAATGTCGTAAAGTGTCACAGAGAGGAGTTAGATAGTTTCCTGTCTTCTGTCCTACTACTAATGTCGTAAAGTGTCACAGAGAGGAGTTAGATAGTTTCCTGTCTTCTGTCCTACTACTAATGCAGTAAAGTGTCACAGAGAGGAGTTAGATAGTTACCTGTCTTCTGTCCTACTACTAATGTCAGTAAAGTGTCACAGAGAGGAGTTAGATAGTTACCTGTCTTCTGTCCTACTACTAATGTCGTAAAGTGTCACAGAGAGGAGTTCAATAGTTTCCTGTCTTCTGTCCTACTACTAAAGTCGTAAAGTTTCACAGAGAGGAGTTCGATAGTTTCCTGTCTTCTGTCCTACTACTGATGCAGTAAAGTGTCACAGAGAGGAGTTCAATAGTTTCCTGTCTTCTGTCCTACTACTAATGTCGTTAAGTGTCACATAGAGGAGTTCGATAGTTTCCTGTCTTCTGTCCTACTACTGATGCAGTAAAGTGTCACAGAGAGGAGTTCAATAGTTTCCTGTCTTCTGTCCTACTACTGATGCAGTAAAGTGTCACAGAGAGGAGTTCAATAGTTTCCTGTCTTCTGTCCTACTACTGATGCAGTAAAGTGTCACAGAGAGGAGTTCGATAGTTTCCTGTCTTCTGTCCTACTACTGATGCAGTAAAGTTTCACAGAGAGGAGTTCGATAGTTTCCTGTCTTCTGTCCTACTACTGATGCAGTAAAGTGTCACAGAGAGGAGTTCAATAGTTTCCTGTCTTCTGTCCTACTACTAATGTCGTTAAGTGTCACAGAGAGGAGTTCGATAGTTTCCTGTCTTCTGTCCTACTACTGATGCAGTAAAGTGTCACAGAGAGGAGTTCAATAGTTTCCTGTCTTCTGTCCTACTACTGATGCAGTAAAGTGTCACAGAGAGGAGTTCGATAGTTTCCTGTCGTCTGTCCTACTACTGATGCAGTAAAGTGTCACAGAAAGAAGTTCGATAGTTTCCTGTCTTTTGTTCTTCTGCTTATGTCCTAGTGTCACAGAAAGAAGTTCGATAGTTTCCTGTCTTTTGTTCTTCTGCTTATGTCGTAAAGCGTCACAGATATGAGTTAGATGTAGCTTTCTGTCTATTGCTAGTGGCGTAGATTGTGTTAGTTTTATAATGCATTTCTGCCGAGTCTCTGTTACACCCTCCACCCATCTCTTTCCTGGTCGACCTCTTGCCTTGTAGCCTGTTGTTCTTATGTAGTACGCTCTAGCTGCTGCTAGATTTTATCCATTCTGGTCAGATGACCAAACCATTTGATTCTCTGATTTCTTTAAAATAATTTTGTGGTACCGTGCCTACTACTGTACTTTATTCTTCACTGTTGACTCTGTCATTACCCTTTAAAGCAGTGGTTCTCAACCTATTGGTCGCGACCCTTTTAAGTGTCAAACAAGCCTTTCATAGTGGTCGCCCAAGGCCATCGGAAAACACATATTCACTGAAATTATAAAGTAACAATGAAAATAATTTTATGGGTATGGGGGTCACCACAGTATAAGGGACTGTATTAAAGGGTTACAGAATTAGGAAAGTTGAGAACCAATGCTTTAAAGTAATACATAAATGCCTACCTGAAAAACATCGTGTGGCAAACTTTCATTGTAGTAGTTGCCGATAACATCAGCAATGATATTGAGGTGTATCCACTGAAAGGCGTTGCTAAAGGAGTACAGAGAAAACAGGGACAGCATCAACCACCTCTTGCGGTACAACCTTGGCGGGGAAGATATTTGTAGCTGTGGTTTTTCCAGAAGCCCAACTCCATTTCCAAAATGTCCGCCTGTTTCATCTGTTGAACTTTTGAGTCCTGGCGAAGACAATAAAGCTAAACGTGAATGCTGGGCTATCTTTTGAGTTGTGTTAGCAAAAATATTTGCTGCAACCCAGTTGACGACCTAGGGACGGACTTTTTAATCCATAAGTGTGTACAGTATAATGTAATATCTAACCTGGATATATGCATCTTCTAGATCCAGTGTTGCCACTGCGCGCACGAGAAAGCAACAGTTTAGAGTGAACACTAGTCACTGCCTACGCAACTGAAACCCTATAAAAGGATAACACTACACCAAAACATTTAGTTCATTTTTAAGCAGTCACAAATGGCTACTTTATTGATACATTTAAGGAATATTTCTATAGGCCGATTGCAGGCAGGAGAAAGTCAAAGTCAGGTTGCCAGCATCTAAACGAGCATCAGAGTTACCACCAGTCAACTATGGTACCGGTTCTAAGCCACTGGTTCAAATAAAGACCGACATCACAGTGGATGATCAAGAGTGACAACAGCAGTGGAGAATCGCTTTATTTGACTTCGTCATCTCACAGACAGGTTTGCAGCAGCTTCCTCAGCTGCGCAGGCATTGCCTCCAGGACGTCATGTGTCTGATCAAACTGTTCAGAACAGACTGCATGACGTTGAACTTTGGGCACGACGACCACACTGAGGACCTGTCCTTACTCGTTGCCATAACCAAAATCGACTTTGGGTGAAGCAACATCGCTCCAGGGCAGATGACAATCAATGGAGACGTGTAACAGATAAGTACTGCTAGTTAACAGAGAACATGTGGTACCGACTACTGTTACAGGTAGATCAATCATATCTGACAAAGCTAGCAGAGAACATGTAGTACCGACTAATGTTACATGGTAGATCAGTCCTATCTGACCAAGCTAGCAGAGAACATAGAACCGACTTCTGTTATAGGGTAGATCAGTCATATCTGACCAAGCTAGCAGAGAACATGTAACACCGACTAATGTTACATGGTAGATCAGTCAAATCTGACCAAGCTAGCAGAGAACATATAACACCGACTACTGTTACAGGGTAGATCAGTCATATCTGACCAAGCTAGCAGAAAACACGTAACACCGACGACTGTTACAGGGTAGATCAGTCATATCTGACCAAGTTGGTAGAGAACATATATTACCGACTACTGTTACATGGTAGATCAGTCATATCTGACCAAGCTAGCAGAGAACATATAACACCGACAACTGTGACAGGGTAGATCAGTCATATCTGACCAAGCTAGCAGAGAACAAAAAACACCGACTACTATTACATGGTAGATCAGTCATATCGGACAAAGCTAGCAGAGAATATATAACACCGACTACTACTACATGGTAGATCAGTCATATCTGACCAAGTTAGCAGAGAACATATAGTACCGACTACTGTTACATGGTAGATCAGTCATATCTGACCAAGCTAGCAGAAAACATATTACACCGACTACTGTTACAGGATAGATCAGTCATATCTGACCAAGTTAGCAGAGAACATATAACACCGACTACTATTACATGGTAGATCAGTCATATCTGACCAAGTTAGCAGAGAACATATAGTACCGACTACTGTTACATGGTAGATCAGTCATATCTGACCAAGCTAGCAGAAAACATATTACACCGACTACTGTTACAGGATAGATCAGTCATATCTGACCAAGTTAGCAGAGAACATATAGCACCGACTACTGTTACAGGGTAGATCAGTCATATCTGACCAAGTTAGCAGAGAACATATAACACCGACTACAGTTACAGGGTAGCTTAGTCATTCATGACCAAGCTAGCAGAGAAAACATTACACCGACTACAGTTACAGGGTAGATAGTCATATCTGACCAAGCTAGCAGAGAAAACATATAACACCGACTACAGTTACAGGGTAGCTTAGTCATTCATGACCAAGACCTAACTCAGGGTGCTACTGATTGCGAAAGAAAATCGTGTCTCTGATGGAAATGAACCCGACCAACCAACTGTCTTGCCAGCTCACTAACCAACATCATGGGGCAGCCAGCTTCTGACTGTATGGGAGCTAATCAATACCTGTCAATGTATTGATTCAACGAAGGGAAAGATGATGGGAATGACACAGGCCTTGTGAAACCTAAGACGTTGGAATCAATCGATAAGTAATCAAGGCAAACTCTTTCAATCGATAGCAGGCTTCTATTTATACACATCTTGCTTGAAACCCACTGGCGGTCTTTTTTTACATGTCTTTTTATGTTTCTTTTGTCTTACTGCTTATTTTGTTTTGCCAGTAAGCCTTTTGCCTGTGTTCATATCACATTGTGTTTCTGCAGTGTCTCTTTTACTTTTTATTTTAGCAATTGCGACTCCGCGTTGGCCATTAAAAAAAGAGGGGGGGGGGGGGGGGGGGAAGAACAGCTGTGGGTGTGTCGCTAGCGCAGTGATGTTAGTATCTGATTAAATGATTATTTCTTTTACCACTGGCACCCGTATCCTTCTTGGTGGGCTTCTTGCCTTGTAACCTGCTGTTCTCCTGTAGAGTGCCTTCTAGCTGCTTGCTGATTTTGTTTCATTCTGACCAGATAAACCGTCTGATTCTTTCATGTTCTATGAAATTATTTACCGATAATGTGTCTAAAATTGTTCTTACTTCTTAGGTAGTGACTCTTTCCCCATTTACTCTAGCAACCCTCCCCCCCCCCTTACCCCAGTGCAATCT